AAGTCCCTTGATGATTCTTAGTCTTAATAGGCTGTAAAAGTGAATGAATTCCATAAAAATTCAGCACCTAGCCCAACGACACTATACCACAAGTTAAACAGAAATCGAAGAAGGTCTAGAAAATGAAATTAACACATAAGGAAATTCTGCCTGTGGTCAGGCCATTGTTGAAAACTCCAGGCACTGTCAGTACACCAAGAAATATTAACTACAGTATACTGTTTCCAAACATCAGTGAAGAATGCTTTCTACTGTGTACTATTTAGGAAAGGTATATTTCATACATGATTGAGTCAAGTGGATTTTATGAAAGGAGGGCATGTTTCTGGAAGAACTGCACAAGAAACTGTGATCCGGGCAGTAGCATATTTGTCAAACATTTGATCCATGCACACAAAGATAGCAGTGTGAAACTAAACTGTTTTTACATGGCCTATTAGATGGTATTAGAAAGATAATATTTTAGAGTTGTATTTTAGAAAGCTTTTATTACAATTTTTTCAACGTTAAGCTTTTTTTTTCCTCTTTATCCATTCCTTTATTTTGCTTTTTTGTTTTCTATTGTGCTGTGAAACTGTCTTTGGATATGGCTAATCACCCTGTTAAATAACCCTCTCATGGAATGGTTTTAGTTTTATCAAAAGAAAGGTCTAAACCAATATATAAAACAATTGAGATACCATGTCATTTAAAATATCCATGTTTAAGGTAAAAGTAAAATGGTTTATAAGATCAGTTTCTCCAAAATGGAAAATTCTAGTAATTACTTTTAAGCTATTAAAATACTACTTTAGCTATTTGTGTACACATAATAAAGTAAAATAATTCATTTTCTCCAACCAGCAATATTTCTTTTAGTAATTTTCTTTACCTTCACTAAAGTTGCAGTCTGATTCACACATTTGTACATTTCAGTCTGACCATTTTAGTGATGAAATTGACAACCTGGTATTTATTCATTCATACCATTAGTTAATGTGGCACTTTCTTTGGGATGTGTGAACAGCTAATTATTTAATTAGCATTAAGGAAATGGATGTCTCTTAAAAGTGTCAATATTCCCCAAAGCATGTGGCTTACCCATGCTCCATGTGAATCAGACCATCACAAACCAGGAAAATGCACATCCCTTACTTAAAGTAGAACACATTTTAAGAAAACAAACACATGCTAGTCTGGTTAGTGATAAAATACCCAACACTTTTTATTTCTCAGCTACCTGGCATTTCAATGGCAAATCCAAGCACAAGTGATATTTGGTAATAATGCTGTTTTATCAGATCTTATCTGTAATCCAGTCAGCAATAGTAATCACAAACTCAGTCTTTATTAAATACTGCAGCACAAACTGTACCCAAATTCTCGACATATGTAAGCCACTCCCTTAGACCTAACAGAAAATTATGTCCAATTCTAAAGGATACTTCGAAGAATTAATGGGTCATTAAAAAACTGTAACTTGAAAGCCAGAAAGAAACCAAATGTGTGGAAGACATGACATTTTTTAAATCCTTTTAGAGAATAACTGGAATACACTCTCTTCATAGAGAATACTAACTTGGTCCATGGCCACTCGCAGCATAAGTCCCTGGAGTTCAATTATGTCATTTACATAGATGAATTGGATATGTGATATCAGTGTCTACATAGCACACAATGACTTTCAAGAATCAACACCAAATTGAGATGAAGAACCTTTCCTGCTAAGCACTGTGGCTTCTTGTCTCTTGGCTAGCTTAAGACTTGCATCCAGGAACCTCATTCAGACCTGGGACTCTTCACATCTCAGAACACAGAAACAAACCAACAAGCAGACTGCAAACAAACACATACTAAAAAAAGAGCAAAAGTAACAATCGCACTCTTGTCAGGAAATCAGTCCACAAAATACAATGGCTGGTTTGATTGTTTATACCATTTTGCTTTTCCTTCTAGACATAAATTTTCATCCCAGTGTCTTGGGTTGTTGACATGCATAGAGTCAAGAGAATTCAAGACATGTATTTTCCTCAATTCCTAGTGATTTACGTTTGTTAATGTTTTGAGAAAAAAAAATAACCATTTGACGGAATCAGTTATTTAACAGTAAATGAACTGTGAAAGTGAGCAGCCCTAAACACTGCATGCCTAATACACTGAAAATTAGTTGCAATTGTTTTTGGTTTGGACTGTGGTGGAAGGCGCTGCAGGATGGCAAAATGAGAGGTTTATTTAGCGTCTGGGAGAAGCTTATAAAAGAGCTTAAGTCCTCATTCCTTCTAACTTCTTAACAGCTGTGCAGTTTCTTACAAAATATGTTTTATCGTTTCAAGAAATGCTGTTAACCTCGCAGTTTTAAAACTGAATGAACAAGGCCTCTTGGACAAATTGAAAAACAAATGGTGGTACGACAAAGGAGAATGTGGCAGCGGGGGAGGTGACTCCAAGGTTAGCCTCAATGTCACCAAAAGCGGGTAAACAGTATGTAAAGTAATAGGTGCATCTGCTGGGAGACTTATGGTTTGTACCCAGGAATCCTACCAGAATTGCTGGTCAAGTCCCTTCACAAATCCAAGTATGCAATTACTGTCAAAGCAAAAATATTTGCAACCATTCTAAATTCGGGGCCCCCTTAGCATACCTAATTGAAAATTGCTTGCTCTGAAGACACCGTGGGTCAGACAGTATAGTCCTATGAACCTTGGTTTCGTAAAACAGGAAAGGCTGCAGAAAAAGCACTGTAGTGAAGGCCAGAGAGGATTCAGTCTTGGCTTGTTTTCTTTGGCATTAAACACCAGAACTTTTACTCAAACATTTGTTAAGTAACAGCCACTCAGACTTCTAGAATACCAATTAGAAAGGTATTTATCCATGTAACACTATCAGGTTACGTTTAAGTTAAATCACAGATCAAAGACAGTCATGAGAAATAGACATGTTTTGTCTTCCTCCAATGCATCAGGCTACAAAAGGATCCGTCCACAAAAGTAAACCTAATCAAATTTTGTCTGAATTTCATCCATAAAATATTCCTAGTTTCTTAAAATAACATTTGTTTTTAATTTCTTAACAGTCATTGGGGGGGGGTGGGGAAGAAGGGATACAATTAACAGAAATACTATATTGTGTCTCTGGAACCATTGTTCAGAGAGGTGAAGAAAACCGAAAACATCCATCATATGGGAAACTTCTGGGTTATTTCTATCAATCTATATGTAAGAATTATGAAAGTTTTCTAGAAAATAGTCTTCTATTTGTTTTCAAATCTAGAAATTTGTGCAAAACAAGACATCTTTGCTTATCTTCAATTTTTCATTGGACTATATTCTCACTGAGTCCCCACCAATTTCCATATACTGCCTCAGCTTCAGGGGGCCCGTGTGTGTCAGAGTAGAACTAACTGTGCTACTTGGAGGAAAAGGGAAAAAAAGGTGTAAGCCTTTCTTCTTAGGCAACTTCCGACAGGTTCAAACCTCCATACTATTGGCTAGTACTTAATTGTATCAACAGCACCACCTAATGGCTCTCCAAACCTTTAAAGTCTTTCAAATACAGCTCATTTGCATACTTCCATCTAAGGACACATCTTATTTCAGGAGTAAGAAAGGCAAACGTTGCTAACTGAATTATCTGACCACAAAGAAATCATGAGAGATAAGAGACTAGAGAATAGTATGAGTCCACGTTTTTGTTCTCCCCAGGACTGACTAGCCTTCTCTTTATCCCAAGAAAGAAATCGAGTCTCTACAGAAGAGAGATGAGAGAAGTGTTCAAGGGTTCTTATGGACTCATCCCCTTCAAATGACCTAATTGCTACCTCCACTCTTTGGATCATCCATTATATTTTGTTAAGGAGTATTCTTTTTAGATTTTGAAACCTCAGTTTACCTAGAATTTTCTGATAGTGTCCATAAACATCCAAATATGTAGAAAGAACATTATTCAAGTTTTCACTAATAATCTTTTATGCAAATTAGAAACATAAGAAATTGGGCTGTAATAGCAGCAGGGGAAAGAAAAATGAAGACATTCTATTGCATCAGAAAAAAATTTCTTTGCAAATTACTATTTTCCTTGCAATTATAAGAAAGTGTACCACTGCTTTACAGATAAGCATTTAAAATTTATTGTAAAGTCTTATTTTACAAGGCAAATAAGCAAGCATAAGCAAAGTTATATACAGATTAAGGAAAAACTCAAAATACTAATTTATTCAAATGAGGAATTGGACAAGTGACTATTTAACAAAAACAAATAGTATTTGTCGTTGTTGTGTACCATAGAGTCATAACAGACCCATTGCTGACACTCCAGTGGGTTTTCAGAGGAAGTTAATCACAGGAGAGGAGATTACCTGTCTCTCTCCCACAGAGCAGCTGGTGGATTCAAACTGTGTGCCCTGGGGAACACAGCTGCAGCTTCTTGCCAATAGGCCACCAGTGCTTCCTAGTATTTGTTATACAGAAGAGTAAATGTGAATCTAACTTTCACACTTTTAAAAAGACTTAAGTAATTTCTAAAATGTTACCAGAATCAACACGAAATGTTCTTCCAAAATAATAATAGTATAATCTGGTTTATCTTCTGGAAATTTAATTTAATACTTTTTTAAAAAAAAAAAACAAACCAAACCTAGAAGATCATATGTTGATGTAAATTTGTCACCAAGAGAATAGGTTGTTACAATCTAAATGTTAATAATGATCCACGCTAAGCTTGTAATAAAAGGTGTTATTTTAAATGGCCTGACCTAACTAGGTCAGAGTAAATTACCAAGAGGCAGTTTTCTCTTTACAATTTTCCTTTGAACCTTTTGTACTTTCCAACATTTCATTTTCACCTGTTTAGGTGACTGATTTTCTTTTTTTTTTTCAATATCCCTGTTTCCTCCCCAAAGAGGCTCGAGAGACAAAACAAAGAGGGAAATACTGAATGGGAGAAGGTAGCCAGCCTTTGCTAGGTGGGCAGAAAGAGCAAAAGAGGCAAATACATGCAGCCAATCCAACATAGGAAAAACACGTATGTTCGGACATCACGTCACAAATATGGTGAAATCCTGTGTCTCTGGTTTTCAGATACAGGATCTTGGTAGGAAGAAAACTAATCTTCCTCACAAAGATTCATCTAATTGGAAAAGAGAGAGGAACTCTGTGCCACACATGAAGAAGCGTCTTTTTGTTGTTCGGTGCCTACAAGTTCCTACTCATAATATTGCCCAAGGAAACATGTCCCAAGCCAGTGCCATCCTGGCAATCATTGCCATATTTAAACCTATTAAAGATATCCTGTCATTTCATCTTCTTGAGAATCATCTTTTCACTGACTCTCTATTTTTCCAAATACTATCTCATTCTCCAGAGACTTAGCTCTCTTGGTAGCATGCCCAAAGCATATCAGATATGCTTGTCATCTTTGCTTCTAAGGAGAATTCTGGCTATGTTCCTTCTAAGAGAGATTTGGTCATTCTTCTGGCACTTCGTACTATGTCCAGTATTCTTTGCTAACACCTTATCTCAAAAAGCCCTCCAAGAAAACCCTTCACCCTCCTGTCAGTTGACACATGTGATTGTCCCTAGGAGGACATCTCTCCTTTTCCAATCAGCAGCAAATTATTAAACTTCTACTTTAACCCAACAATGTGCCAAGACCTATGAGAAATAAAAAGAGAAAAAAATACACCACTGTCATTTGGTGGACTAGTGGGTAATGTGTTGCCCTGCCAACCCAAAGTCAGGAGTTCAAATCTACCACCTGCTTTGCAAGAGAAAGATGGGCAGTCTCCTCCTATGCAATTTAACATCTTTGAAAGCCCACAGGAAGGTCAACTATGAGTCGGTTCTGACTTGATGGCTATGTTTGTTGTAATAGATTTCTTAAGGATACTATGATCTCACATAACGGGCAGCTAAAATATTTGTATTTTAAAATATTTATACTACTGCAGTACCCCAATCACACTTCATAGCATGCAATAATTAGTATCTCTACTCATCCATTCAGGAGCTTTAATGATTGGTTAAAGCACTCAACTTCTAGCTGAAAAGTAGACAGTTCAAATCTACGAGTCACTCAATAAGCAAAAGATGTGCCAGTCTGCTTCTGTAAAGACTGGATCCTATGGATCAGTTCCCTGCCCGACAAGATCACCCGGAGTTGGATTTGACTCACAATGGAAATTAACTTACCAATTGTCATCTGCAGAACTATAAAGTTCTAACCACAGCAGCACTCAGTCAGAATGTTTCACAATAAAAAGTAAAAATACAATACTGGATAGGAGAGAGGTATCTTCTATCAAATATAAAACAAAAATCAAATGGAAAGGCAATGTTTTAGGTATACACATGTCTTTTCAAACTCACTCCTTCACGTCTTAATATTATTGAAAGGGGCAATATTTCTCTATTTGAAAAGAAGTTCATGTTCCTTACAATAATAATAGAAATTTATTAATTGACAATGAAACAATTTTAAATCTCTTTTACAATGCCTGAGACAAATTAGCCAGTTTAATAAATGTGGTTTAGTTTGAGTTCAAATCATAGAATTTTAAGCAAATTTTAAGTGATTTTAATATATAATAATTCTGATTCCAGTTATAAATGTTGATTGTACCAATAGTTATGAAGGACCTATAATGCTAGAAATATCTACCAAGTTGTTTATTGTTTTCTGCCTGTTTAATAGTTTATTCTCTATGTATATAAAAACATGTATATTTTTGGATGTTTGGATATTTATACAAAAATCATTTTATAAGTGAGATTTCCAGATAATATATTCTCTAGTAAATATATTTGATATATAATTTCTGGGTTTTAATCTGGTATTTAGACACAACCCATAGCGACCTTATGAAAGTCAGATCTGAAACCTGCCCTATCATGTGCCATCCTCTTCATCTCTGCCACACTAGAGTCCATTGTTGCAGTCACTGTGTCCATCCATCTCAATGACGATCTTCTCTCCTTCGCTGACCCTCCAATTTTATGAATATGACGTCTTTCTCTAAGGACTGGCCCCCTCCTAACATGTCAAAAATTATGTGAAATGAAAAGAGCATCCTGGCTATACTCCTTCCAAGGCATGTTTGTTCACTCTTTTGTCCATGAGATATTTAGTGCCCTTGTCCAGCACCACCAACCAAAGACATTGGTTTTTCTTCTGTCAACTTAAAGGCATCAAATCTTCTTCTGTCATCTATCTTTATTCACTGTCCACTTCTCAGATGCACAGAAGTAACTCAAAAGACCATGCTTTGGATTGGATGCACCTTATACTTCAAACTGACATCCTTGCTCCTCAGCATTTTGGTGAGGTCCTTGACTGCAGACTTTTCCAATGCAACACATCTTTTTATTTCCTGACTGCTTGTAACAAGGTTGTTGATTGTGTTTTGATTGGGATTCAAGTATGATGAAATCTACAATTTCTCTCTTCTTCATCTATCATGATGTTGCCTGCTGGCCTAGCGGTGAGGATTTTTGTTTTCTTCATGTTGAGATGTTATTCATACTGAAGGCTGTATTTAGTTCATAATTATCCAATGCCATTAGATCAGTTCTGACTCATAGTAACCCTACTGAATAGAATATAAGTTCCCCATAGGGTTTCAAAAGTTGTCACTTTTATGGAAACAGACTGCTACATCTTTTTTCTTTTTTCTTTTTTTTTTTTGTCTTTCCATATTGTGGAAGGCGGTTTTGTACCATAGATCTTCTGGTTAGCAGTCAAGAATTTTAACCACTGCTTCGCTAGGTGTCCATTGGTTAATAATGCACATCATGTATTTTAAATACTGAAATCTAATCTTACCCAGTGAACTCAGGTTACTAATCTAAAGTGAACCACAGGCAAAAGGGACAAAGCAGCAAAGTGAAGGTGGAGGAAACAAAACAAAAAGGTACTTTAAAACAGAAAAGAGGTAAACCAGAAGCAATCCTCACCTAATTTACAATTTTTTTCTCCAACAATCCCTTCTAGAACAAAGAACTCTTTCATGTTTTCCTTTTCTCAGTGTTTAACTCTCCTCCTTCCATTTCACCATGTTCAAGGAGTACAGAACAGGCTCAAAAAACACGTAGCTAAGTGAGCTAGCCTGGAGAAAATCAATTTAGCCAAAATAATCTAGGATCCTAACAAACACTAAAATATCTATTAAATGTAACCATAAAACCAAGTCATAGTCATGTAACACTGATTTTAAAAAGTTAATTTGTATTAGAGGTTAGAAAGACAAAAGAAATCTAACATATGGGAAATTTTTACCAGGGCCAAGGGCATAAGGGGGAAAACAAAAGAAAAAAAAATGGTTTAGCTACTAATTAAAACTCAACTAGTTAGAAACCTCATTTCCTGCATCTTCTCTAATTAATGTTTTTTAATAGAATGAGTTCTAAAGTCCTGATCCAGTTACCCCCTAGCTATGTGTGTCTTAGTAAGTTACTTAGCTTCTCTGATCTCTGTCTTCCTGGTATGTAAAATGCAAGCGAGAACAATACAGAAGGCTTTAGTAGCCTAGTGGGTAAGGGATTGTGCTTCCAGCTGCAAGGCAGGTGATTCAAATTCAACATTTCCTCTGGCTGGAAGAGAAAGGTGGGAAATCGCCAATAAGATTTACAGCCTCTGAAAACCCACTGAAGGTTCTAACTCAGCAATGAAAGAGGATGAGAATAGTAATTAAACTTGAAAAAATATTTCTAACAATGCCTCATATGTAATAGCCACTCAATAAATGTTAGAAATAACGCTCATGAATGAATGAATTATCTAACTATGTAGGGTATACAGAATTAGTAGCAGAGGAATGAAAGAAATGCATGTTGTGTTGTTCCTGATGCATTTAACATTTCCTAGGAGAAGTGAAGCATTGGAAATACAGAGAGACCAAGTGATGTGGCAGTCTCTCTCTGAAAGTTTAAAAGCAAGAATAAACCAACCACAGCAATAATAACAGGGGGGGGAAAAAACAACCAACAACCCTAGGAGTAGGAGTTATAGATACACATTTATCTTGTTAGCTTTTATATTGCATACACAGAGGTAAATGTGCCAATAAAAGTTGGTATTGACATTGATGTCCATTGACACCTTCCTCCTGGAGAGGCCTAACGTAGTGTTTAGTATCAAAGGAATCAGAGGCTACAGAAAAGAAATGAGATTTTACAGGGAGGGAGAGTTCCCCCTAATCAGAAAACTCCTGACTAGAGTCAGAAAACTGCCTGGTAAGAATGTATATCCTACAGGTATTTCATCTTGTACTTTGATATATTAATATTACAGGATCAAGGTGTAAATTGCCCTTGATGGTATTATTTCTGTAGAATCTTGTCATACAAAAGAAAACCACCAGCAATAGTTGTTAGCTTTATAATGATTTTCTTGCATGAGAGATCCTCCACTGAGAACACTAGACTCACTCTACTCTTTAATTGGGTCCTAGATCAACCTGGCTAAGGGTTATCAGAGTGACAAATACTATAGACATACTTTCACAGCATAGTTAAATTCCACTGACTGAATCATAGTGCGTGCAAGAAATTAAATTATTCCCAGTTAACGTCTATTCAAGTCTGTCAACCTGCAGTCACTTCCATGAATTTGGAAAGGGGGAAATTACGAATGTCTTGATTGTTTTAATGACTTCTATATTTTGTTGAGAAAATGAAAAGAGAAAGCCAACTCAGGCCAATAGTTTTGGATTCACAGTAATTGCATACATCTTCTTTCCAACTCCTCCCTAGCAGTATGTGCCTGTTACCTAAAGCGATGGAGCAGGCCCCAGTTTTATGTCTGTTTCTAAACCTGGGCCTACAGTACAAGACATAGCACCTACTGTGGCCTCTGCTCTGTCACTTTGCCATGCGATTCTAATGTAGTTTTACTTGAATAACATAAAATAACATATATAATGTTATTTATGTTATTTTCCACGTGAAGAACTCCTGTAAACCTTGCCGTTTTGAAACTCAGTGAGGCAGGCGTCTTAGACAAGCTGAAAAACAAATGGTGGTACGATAAAGGTGAATGTGGACCCAAGGACTCTGGAAGCAAGGTCAGTCGCTGCAGTTCGGGGCCTCCTCTTGTGTTCACAAAGCAGTAATCGGGAGCAATGATCAATAGTACATAGAAACATTAAAAACTGCCTATTTCCCTATACACTCAGCCACTGCCCAAATTTAAAGCTAATATCATAAATTTCCACCCCAGGAAATTGTAAACTGCTCCCTAAGTATAAAATCTTTCGATTAAATTTAAATTTAGTGCAAAAAAAAATAAAAAATAAAACCATAAGATTACTTAACATTAGTCCCAATCTTACGTACCACTAATAAAAGTAATGTCTTTTATGGCTGGGTCTTTTGGTTATTTGTTTTGGAGGCAAAGACCTTGAAAGCTGTGATTTCCAGAACGCATGTATTCACAAAACAGGAATGTGAAATTGATCCATAGTCCTTTAGAAAATTACTTTAAATATAAAATAAATGCGTCTTCAGCCTTTTGCAACTATTTGCCAAGCATTCCACTTTAGCTTGATGAGGCCTAATTATATTTCTGTATTCATGGATAAACATAATGAAACGTCAATTTTACTCTTCCCATCAAAAGTATTATAAATAACAAAATACTTATGAATAGTGTCCTCCCATTCTAAAATCTCTACATTACTAATTATTTTAGAATGATGTCAGAATATATATGCCTGAATCAGTTCAATGTAAATGAAAATAATGTTCAGAAGAGTTCTATTTTAGTTTAAAGCAAAAAGCTTCTCAGTGAATTGAAATAGTTGTACAAATTAGTAGATGATACCAAACAATACCTGAAAGGCATCTTGAAAGATTCCTGACACCTTCTCTTCTCTTTTTTGGTATCTTCTTCTACAAAGGAGAAAAAACCCCAAAAAAACAAAAATCCAAAACTGGAATTCTAAGACATTAAACACATGATTTTTAAGTAAAAGAATCTCAATTAACTAGAAAAAGAAATCGAGCTAAGCTAATTGAATTTTTCAGAGTTTGAACCACAGTCTCATGCCTTGGAATGAGACAAGCTTGGTACAGATAAGAAAATACTCATTTCAAATACTTCCATAAAGTAGAAGCAAGTTTTAGTCTAAAAAATTAAGTTAATCTGAGTTTTATGGTCCAGTTAATGGATGTCCTGGCTAAATGGGCATATATAGCATGTCCCTTAAACTTTCTCCTCATAAAAGTACTTAAGCATCTGAATCGCAAAACATACTGCAGAGAAAATGAGGTTGCAGGGCATCCTTCAGGTATGCCACCCAAAATCCTTTTCAAATAATGTAATATATAGATAAATTTATAATTTGTGGAAAAAATCCGCCTTCAAGCTACAGTTTTAACATATTTTAATCATGTGCTTGGCTGTTTCTGAATTCTCAAGTTCTCCTTTAATAGGTATAATAGAGATTTGGAGAAATATATACAAAATATTAACTGATTAACTTTTTTTAAGTGGGAATAGAATTATATTTCTAAATCAATAAAAAAATAGATGTATTTGACCCTATATAAATATTTCTCCAATGATTAGGGCAATTTGTCTATTTTTTTAAGTTACCTAATTTTAAATATCATCTAAACTAGATGCTTATAAAGTATTCCAAAATAATGCTATTTAATATGTAAAAGTGACTTTTTTCATGAACTTTTCCATAAAGATACAACTAAAATAATAAATAATAATCTTGAATACTGTTTGCATATATTCACAAAAAAAGTAATTTTTAAAATGTAAAATTAAGTAAGGACCATTAGTAGAATATTAATTAATGTTGTATTTACTCAGGAGACATTTCCAAAACTAAAAGTATATTTTAATGGGAGCAAAGCCAAATGTACTGTCTTTCCCACATAACTGATTTTAAACATGAGCATTTTACAGACTTTTTCAGACTTAATGATAATAATCCCATCTCTGCCACCCTATATATATGTAAAATCCCTTTACATGGCTTACTGGTTTTCGTTGCATATTTAATTATGATAAAATGTACTGATGTTATTGGATGCAATTACATCCTACTTGTTGATTATCATCATAATTTGCCTTTTCCCTAAGAGCTATAAGCTTTATGCTAAAATCCGTAAACCAACATCAGTGATATATCCATGTAAATAATTCTAAGTTAAATGATGCCTCTGTTTCCACTGGCTCTCTGATTTCATGTGCTGTCTGACCTTTTGGATGTGACATTTCTGCCATTAACTGAAGTGTCTTTATCCCCCTCCAGGACAAGACGAGTGCCTTGAGCCTGAGCAACGTAGCAGGCGTCTTCTACATTCTGGTTGGCGGCTTGGGCTTGGCAATGCTGGTGGCTTTGGTAGAGTTCTGTTACAAGTCCAGGGCAGAAGCGAAGAGAATGAAGGTGGCAAAGAGTGCACAGACTTTTAACCCAACTTCCTCGCAGAATACCCAGAATTTAGCAACCTATAGAGAAGGTTACAACGTATATGGAACCGAAAGTATTAAAATTTAGGGGTAGGATTTAGGGCCTACAACAGTGAGTGGGTGATGCATCCTGTAATCGCAGTGTTGTGACCTGTCTGTCCAGTGGTGGTATTGCTTGCTTCTACTTAGAGCTTTCTATTTTTTGACAACTTCAATGCAAAGATGTTCCATTTTCTTTGGCTGCAGACGTACTGTTTGACACTCTATGTTGCCAATAGATATCTGCATTGCAAGGGTCAGAAAGGTAAAAACAAACCTCCAGAACTACTTTATGAAGTGATTGAAACAGTTGATTCTACTTGAAATTTGGAAGAAATTGGAAATTAGACTCGCCTGGGTGCCTTTACACACAGCCCAGGCTTCTTTTCTCTGTAACAATCCAATTTTAGGATAAGTATTAACAAAATAAGCACAGACCCTATTTTAAATGATCAAAGTTTAGACGGTTACCAATTTTCTAAAGTCTTATTTATTTCCTGGAAAACAATACTTACAAAAGCTCCAAAGAAGTGTCAGGCACATTGTAGATGTTAACTGTAGTGACACCTACAGGTCACTGTGAGTTGGAATCAACTCAATGGTAAGGATTTTTCTTTTTTTTTATAAGTCCAAAGAGACTCAAAGGCAGTTATTTAGTGGGTTGTCATCCCAACTCCCCCACCTAACTTGTTTTACAGTAGTCACCGTTCTATATTTTTAAAGAATGAAACTCTGCTATTTTGTTAATGTGACAGTAGTCCTTGAGCCAGATCCATGGGCAGAAGTGACTGTCAGAATACCGACTACAGTTCACGGTTATGAGATGAAATTCTGCCATTGTGTTCACTGTATCACGAAGGTGGATAGGGATTTCAGACAATACAGCAATTTTTCTACTGAAGATCTCCCTCATCTGTGTGTTCTATAAGAAAGATGCAGTGAAAGATAAAAGGCCGAGTGAGTTATTATGCGCCACATCTGCCAAATTTCAGTTGCTTTTAACCAAGTCACAGAAGCTTTACTTACATTCTCTTATTGTGACACCAAAAAAGAATGAAATTTATGAAAGAGAGATCATTTTTTTAAGGCTCAAGGGTCACTACTTATCCTCTAATGATAATGGGCACACTTATCAAAATAAGATTTGAAAGCATCTGTTACTGCTTCCCTAAAATCAGACCTCAAAAGCCCATTTTCCAAATAATGCATAATAGCCACTCCTTTTGATTACAATTATAAATGAGCCTTTGAACCCACAAGAGGCGTTTAGTGCTTGATGTACTCCAGAGTCAAAAGTGTGGTATCATTGCTAATGAGGATAATGTGTACACCTGAGGGAATTCTAGGCATAGGTACATTAAACTTTGATATATGTTTATATAAAAGTTACTAAAATAGTTGTTAGATTTAAAAAAACACACACAAAAAACAACCTTTTTTATAAAATCCAAGTGCTTTTATCCATAACCTAGCTATCAATGACATAATACACCTGCAGATGAGTAATATCCCAAAGAGGCACCTGCCCAGTTTTGAGAAGGGGAATTAAGAACAAAACCCTCAAGTCACCCAGATGAAAACATTAGGGTCATGTCTTCTAAAACTGAAACAATAAACTAAGGCAGGCAAGCTGTGCTGGCTATTATGAGAATTCTTTCATCTTAATGTTTACAGGGTTGAGAGATTTTCCCTTAAATTAGAAAAACAACATCAACCTAGACTCCCAATCCAATTCTTCATACAGACAGCCAACTGAATCAGCCAATCTTTTTTACAGATAAAAAATAGTTGCAGTTGGCTCTATTATGTCACAGGAGAGCTGTGCTTCATAACTTACTACTGTGGAGTTGATGTGGGTTCACAGAAACTTTCCATCAGGTTTCTGAGGCTGTAAATATTTATAAGAGGAGACTGTCTTCAGTGAAGCAGCTAGTGGATTCGAACCACACACCTTGTGTTAACAGCACAACAGAAAATGCACTACACCACAAGAATTGCTACAAGGTAGCAATTAAAGGGTTTTGAACTAAAGAGCATCTATCTACAACACATTACATTAAAAATATTTTTATACTAGACAGTTATACAGAAATAGCAAGCCCTGTATTTCATAAATATTTTTATTACTAGACTTTCCTGACACAAATAATGCTGTTCTTCTAGTAGTTCTTTCTATGCACATTCCCGAAAACCTTAGCATTCTAACTTTAAGTTGGAAACGTAAGTTGCACAAACTTAAGTGCATAACTTTTCAAAAGTCTCATTTCAACTAGAATAACGACAGCCATTGTGTCACCGTCCTAATCAGCCTGGCCTCTGCCTACTTGACAAGTGCTAGGAAAGCACTTTGAGCTCTGCTGAGACATACCAGAAAATATGTCTCTGGTTGCTGATTCCATGGCATAGGCCATCCTGTCTTCAAGTATTACAAAGCTCTGCCAATTAAGTGCATACACCCTCCTCTGCCACAAGCCTCAGTCTCAAGACATAATCCCTGGGGAGGTTCAGTCATGAGTAAAGCTCTTCACTGAAGGACCTTTCCAAATATTTGTTGAACTGCATTGTCTCACTTCTAAATCTGTTATTAGTGTAATGATGTGCACTTTCTGATCGTTTTAAAACAATTTGCATTATTTTTCATTTAGAATTTTTTATTAAAGTATAATTTGTTGTTGTTGTCCTGAGTTAGTCTCACTGATTCCAACACAACCCCCATTGTCCTAGTCACTGTAAGTACAGTTAAATTGAGTTCTGAATGAAACGGATTTTATCCCATCATTTAATTGCCAAGAAAGGAAAAAAAGCAGTGTTCCAAATACAGACACACATCCATTGAAAAAATACTTACTAAAAAAAAAAAATTCTTACTGACTACCTATGATGTGCTGAATAAAAAGTCCAAAAAGATCTGATTTTAAGAGACTAATTGAACACAACTCTGTGGGAATACTTCTTTTCCCAAAAATGCTCATTATATTTTCCAGCATGGCATAAAAGAAAGATATTTCTGATTTCTGATTATAACAATGAATATCAATTTTTAAAACTTCTCAGTAAAAATATGAAATTCACTTTTTCTTATCTTAGATATATGTCTGTCATTAGCAATTTAACTTCAATTTCCATGTTTACAAGGACATCTGATCTCTAAATTGTTTTGCTATAATTTTCTTTAATTCAATAATTTCAGTTGATTAGTTAATATATCATTATTTTAACAGTTTCGCTCCAGAAAACAAGTTAAATGATAGAATTCCCCAAATAATTTGATACTTTTAATAGGAAATTAAGATATGGTGACACTATGATCTAAGCTGTAACAAATTTAGGAAATAGCTCACTTATTTCTTTTCCTCTTGAATTCATAATAGAATTCAGGTTACTAGAAAAAAATTAAAGGTGTCAAACAAGTAGTACATTCCTATCTTTCCCTAGTCATCCTCTCTGTAATATTACTGTCTGCTTCAGGGAGCTCTGGTAGCCTATCTGAAAGGCAGTTGTGCTGCTAACCCAAAAGGTCCACCTCTCTAGTGGGTTGGAACCTACCAGTCACTGTTAGGGAGAAAGATAAGCCTTTTCCTCCCACGCAGTTTACACCCTCAGAAACTTAATGGAAGCTCAGCCATAAGTCGGTCCTGAGTCGATGGCACAGAGAAACAGACTTAAAACGGCAAGGAACCCTAATGGCATAATATGTGATGGACTGATAAAGAAAATGTTGGCAGTAGAGTGATTCAGCAGCTACTCCTTCAGAGAAAAATGAGGCTCTTTCCTTCCAGAAATTTACAGCCTCAGAAACACGAGACTGCCATGCGTTGTAATCGACTGCATGGCAGTTGCTTTGGAGTTTTTTGGTTTTGTTTCTTGTTTGATTTGGTATCTAATATGACAGAGAATAAGAGTTTGATGAGGTTTTCAGAGACCCTAAACTTTGAAACTCACTATGGTGTAAGTTACCATTCAGGAGCTTTTAAAAGATGTCCGCTTTCGGTGTACAGCTTTTAAGCACTTTACTTAAAATAGAAGCCTTAGCGTCCAGAGTACGCATAGAGTGAACTATATGTCACTAACTGTACTGTTCTGGGTCATGTCTATAACCCGTGTGAATGAATGAAAGTGTTTGTGGCTAGATCTTTGTTGTGCAAACAGAAAGATCAGTTGTGAATTGTCTCTATTGGGTGTTCAGACAATTCATCACAATTTTAAGCGTATAACCTTTGCATCATAAAGGCGTTTTTTAACAAAAAATATTAAAGAATGTTGATCAAACATAAAGGAGCTCTTAAACAGCAGTGTAGCCTAGAGTAGATCAAGATAGGCTTTGCCCAAGATTTGTTCAACAAAACCCTTCTTTGCTCTTAGAATTCGCTCCTAAATAAAAAGAGGCCCCCAAACTCTAGTCTGACTCGCCCTTCTGTGTAGTGAAGGTTTTCTTCTCCCTTATTAGCATTTTTTTCATATAACTAAAAGAATCTGGAAAAAAATGCAGATGTCTAAATATTTTTATCTTGGTGTTTGTTGTGTCCTCCTCTCTCGCAGAAACAGAAGTAGTGTAACACCCTGCATTCTTTTGTTTCCTTTCCATGCTACCTAGCTGACCTTTTCTGAAGCCATAAGAAACAAAGCCAGACTATCCATCACTGGAAGCGTCGGGGAAAATGGCCGCGTCTTGACGCCCGACTGCCCAAAGGCTGTCCACACGGGAACTGCAATTAGACAAAGTTCAGGATTGGCTGTCATTGCATCGGACCTACCATAAAAACCAAAAAAATAATTGAGTGCCTTAATTAAACTCTGTTGGTGACTGATGGAAACGCAGCCCAGAGGGACACGCCCGAGCGCGCGCCTGGTGAACCAAGCCCTTGGCTGAGACCGGAGTGCGTCCCGGTGCGCAGGAAATCAGCCGCAGCGTGTGCATGAGCTCAGCTCGGAAACCCAAACTCAGATTTTATATCAGGAAAACTCACAATTTAGGTTTTTTCGGGGCGTGGGAGGGGGGGGAAGCTGGGACGGGTGTATTAACAGCAACAAATTTCACTCGGGTGGACTTAAAAACTAATCAGACTTGCGAGTTAGCGCATTAAACTGTGAAGTTCTTGCTCAGAAAGGCCTTTGTCTTCACGCAAGGGATAAAATAGTTCTAGAAGTCAATGAACATGCTAACCTGTGTCTCCAGAACACCCATATATTCAATGGAAGGATATCCAGCAGAGAAAACAAAAGTCACTAAACTGTGATAAGCAAAATAATTAAAAAAATATGTAAATCCTGTGAAAAACAAAATTTAAAGAGAGTATTTACACTTAACTTTGGAGAAAAATACTGAAACATGCTTGCTTTTTAACTGACGTAAATTCAGTAGAGGACAACACGTTTCTTTTTTCTAACCATCTTAGGGAACAATACATTGCAATAATTGATATAAATGCCATCACTGTAATAAACTTTGCAGACTTTTTTAAAATATAAATATATATATATATAAAAGTTGTTGGTCATCTCGTTTGCTGTGACCTTCACTCTGTGACATGAGTCAGTTTGTCCACAGATTGCATTTGTCTCACTTCCAGGAGTTAAAAAAAAAGAAGAAGGTGATAGCCTAAAATCATCAGTCTGCAATTTAGAGTCAAAAGAGACTATGGGTCACTCATGTTATCAATATTATTTATAATCTTGTGTACAAAATTGTGGTTTTTGTACTCACCAAAAAAAAAAAAGAAGAATAAAAACTATAGACATTCTTACAATGTCTACAGAACTTAAAGGTGGTGTTGTTTATTCAGTTTTTTTGGTTGAGTTTTTTTTTTTTTTAATCGCCATAAAAGTTATTTGAAGAATTAAAAGACTATATATAAAGAGGGCTTACTGAAGTCAAGTGGTGATCATACTACTGGAAAATACAATTTTTCCTTATTATTTTTGCATACTAAACTACTCTTCTTTTACAGACCTTTGACCTGTTTAAGATGGAATCCTTAAGTGAAGAAATCAATCATTGTCACGCCCTGTAATTGTGTATTGAAATTTTACTTGACTGTATTTTGCTGCATAAAATTATGTGTTTCTTGGGCTTCTTCCCCGCCCCACCCCCATTCCCATTGTTGCATTTAAATCATTTGAAGGCGCTAATAATAGTTTGGGGTAGACAACAAAGGGAAAAGTAGGCTTTGTTCTCAAATGGAAAGTGTAAGAAAAAAAAATGTGTGCCCATGTTTATTTCTAAAAAATATGTGTGGACTAGAGTCACAAAATTCAAAGGATAGTCTGGTTTGTTTGAAATAAAGAATAAGTGTTTCAGTAGTGAAAAACAAAAAAAAAGCCATGCTTACGGATCTTGACAGAAAGCACAAGTTAGGATGGCTGTGGAAGCCTGACTCTGAAGGATGACTGGGTTTTAAAGTAGAGACATGATACAAGTCTTATGAGTGAGCTGTGCACACCAATGACTTGTTTAAGGAATGTATACTGGATAGACTGGTAACATCACCAAGTGATATCATGGGCGAGACAGTTGGAAAAACATGATTGGTCTCCTTGATTCAACTCTTGATATGTACACTTGCCCCATTTAGTCTCTGTGCCGAAGTAAAATACAAACTTAAAAAGTTAAAAATCTGATAACACACACACATATACACACAGATCCCTCAGGAAAATCCCAAGCTCTTAAGCAGAGAATATGAGACCCTTCATGAGCTGGCCCTGGCTTATCCCCTCCAGAACATCTGTTACCCTCTCCTCAAGATCTCCCACCACCAAATGAACCTCAAAAGCCGCACATGAGACACTGCATAGATTTCCTCAGTCTATAACACTCTTTCCTGTCTCCTCTTTACCTGATTAACTTATACTCATCCTTCAATATTTGAATCAACTTTTACTTGCCCTGGAAAGATTTTGTGATTATCCACCATCCCCTGCCTATAAGACTGAGTTAGGTGCCCTTAATGTGTTTTCCCATAAGAGCACTTACCATACTGCATTGTAATTGCCTGTGTACTTGTCTGTATAACTTCTAGACTGTAAGCTCCTTGAGGGCAGGGACTGTGTCTATCTTGTTCACAGTTGTATCCCCAGCACCCAGCACAGTGCCTGGCATATTGTAGGTGCTTAATAAATATTTGTTGAACGAATAACTTAATGGATTGGATTAATTTCATTAAGTGGATGCAGAAAAGTAAAATTTCTCCTTTACATTGCCTCGTGTGAATTTATGAGTATGTTCTGGTAGTTCGGTGTTCTTGAGTTGATTCTGGCTCATAGTGATCTCATATGAGTAGAAATATCCCTTTGGTTTTTATTGCCTGGAGTCTATGAAGTACTAGATCAATAGGTCTTTCATCTGTGTAACCACTGTAAAAGGTTTAACCACTAAACTTTGAATTAGCTGACAAGTGCTTAAACCTTGAGCCACCAGTCAAACTAAAATTAAGAATTTTATTTCATGATGTTGTAAATCTATCTGGAAAGAACAGCTAAGGAAACTATTGTATAATCACACAATGGAGTACTATGTAACATTGAAAAACAATGAAGAATTCACAAAACACTGCAAACATGCACAAATCTAGAGAAATTACATTGCTTGAAACAAGAAAATCACATAGGAACAAATATTATATAAGACCACTACTATTCAAATTTAAGGAAAGGTTTACATACAGGATAATTATAATATGTTTACCAGGGACAAGGAGGAAGGAAAAGCAGAATAGATAATAAATACTTATTAAAACAGGGAAAGGAACTATAGAATAAATGGATTCTCAGACATTGTGGGTATTGTAACTAATAATATAAATCAAAAGGTGTGTTAAAGATTGATTAAAAGCCAAAACAAAAAGAAAAAGAGAGATAGAGAGAGAAAGTGAAGAATAGCTAAAGAAGGAATAAGATGACCTGATGGATTTTCTGACCAGATAAGATACTCTTTGTAATTGGACTTAACTGGGGAATAATTCGTTTGGCCAGAAAAATTGTCATAACTAAATAATCCAGTAAAGGTTTTTATTTTCTTAGCCAGACTTCTAAAATCATCTTTTGTTTACGTTTCACAGTAGATTATTGAATAAAGTTTATCTCTCTCAGTCAGAATCAACTCCACTAACCCTCCATTGATAGTCTGTGATTGTAAATCACACGGGCAGATTGTGCTTATATTTCCCTCAGAGATATTGGTGGATTAAAAATGCCACAAAGCTATTTCCTTTGGGTTAGCAGTATACCACCCTCACACTATTCCACCAGAGTTCCCTCAAAGTAAATTTGTTGTATTGTGCCATCAAGTCACTTATTTGCAACTCATAGTGACCTATATACAACAGCTCTGAATCCTGCTCGATCTTGAACCAATTTCATTGTCACCAACACACCTATCCTCATTACCCTCATCACTGAGTCAATTCATCTCATCCAGGGTCTTCCTGACTTGTGCTGCCCCTCCACCCTTCCAAGCATGATGTCCTGCTCCAAGATCTGCCCCCTCCTGGCAACAAGCTCAAAATGTGTCAGATAGAGCTTCAAAATCCTTGCCTCCAAGGAACAGCCTGGTCTCAACCCTCTACAGGACAGACCTGTTTGTTCTTAACAGTCCTTGGTATGGTCAAGATTCTTCTCCAGCACCACAACTCGAAGGCATTGATCCTTCTTCTATCATCCTTAGTCGTCTAGCTCTCTGATACATAGCCCTGATAGCAGATTTTTCCAATGCAATTTGTCTTTTGATTTCTTGGCTGCTGGTACCAAGAGGGTTGATTGATTGTGGAGCTAATCAAACTGAAACTATAAACATTCTCAATCTCTTCTCTGTCTATCATGATGCTGCCAATGGACCCAGGGGTGAAAATCTTTGTTTTCTTGATATTGAGCTTCAATTCATATTGAAGGCTGCAATCCTTGACCTTCTGCAGCAAATGCCTCAGATCCTCCTCACTTTAAAAGGACTTATAATTCTTATAGTAAAGAATAATATAATAGAAACCAAATTTTGAATGTAACATTAGCAAAATGAGGTACTTTCTCTGAATTCCATTCTGGAGAAAACACTGTAAGTTTAGCACCACAAGTAATTTTTGAACATTTAAATTTAATGTAGTTTAGCAAAAGTATTTGGTTCCACAGAATAAAGGCAGTTAAAAACAAGCAAAATCATCATCCAGGCTGCACAAATAATTTTTTCCGAGGGATTAGTACAAAACTAGTTGCTATGAGGCAGAGGTTAAAAATTATCAACTCTACAAAACTACTATAACACTCTATCATCTCTAACTTCAACAATTCCTCTCAACCCCACCCTGAGCCCTCTCAGTTCTGTCTTTGTCTTTGGGATCCATAATTCATGAATCAGGCTTGTTTGTAAGACAGCTGCAGGCAGTTGTAGCTTAAAAGTGGCTGGTACATGCCAATGCACCAATGGTTGCCAAGCTGGTGAATAAGAAGCAGCTGGTTGACGTTAGATGCAGTGTCGAGGGTGAAAAAGGATCAAACATTCCAAGAGCATTCATCTACATAATCTCAGGACTATAAACCATATCCACAAGAGAGCTCTCAGTGGCAATTTGGATTATACCTTCTTATAGCTCAGGAGAGCTCTGGTGGCCTAATGGGTAAGGAATTGTACTTCCAACTCAAAGACAGGCAGTTTGAAAGATAGGCAATCTCCTCCTATAAGACTTACAGCCTCTGAAAACCTGCTGGAGGGTCAGCTATGTGTCAGTTCTGACTCAGCACATAAAAAGAACTACAAGGTGAAGATTCAAGATACATCTCCACCCTAATTCTACTTTATTAGGCACAGAAAGGCTGTAATTTGCAATTCATCATAAAATGCAAGCCCAAGATTGGAAAGGCAATGTTACTTTTTCACTATACATGAAGTATAGAATCCTCTGAACATAACAGATAAAGTCAACTCTGAAGCTACATTAGCTAATGTGGTATCAAAAATGCTAAGATCTAAAGGATTTGCTGCAAAAGGTCTAGGATTGTAGTCTTCAAAATGGATTAAAGCTTAACATCAAAAAGAAATTATCTTCACCACTGGGCCAATTAGCAGCACCATAATAGGTGAGGAAGAAATTGAGGTTGTTTTCAATTATAGCTTGTTCGCATTCACAATCAACACTTTTAACACCAACAGTCAGTAAATCAAAAGATTAATTGCATTGAGAAAATCTGCTCATCATTTTCCTTCACATCTGGTGTATTTTAACCTTGTGCCTTTGGGATTGCAGTTGAGGTTCTTAATACTAGGCCAATAGGGTTCCCTAAAGAGATGTTTATAGAAATGTAATCATATCCACTTTCTTCCTTTTCTTTGTATTCTGGTTTTGAATTTTTCTTAAAATGATCTTCTCTCCAGTACATAAATATTTTCTGAGTTCAAGACTAAAATATCTTACTGCTGATATGCCACCACCACTAGCCTAGTTAGTTGATATATACTACCTACAGCTATTCTATTTTTTTACTTTTTAAAAAAAATTTTATTGAGATTTTGATGAAGTTTATAAAGAACTTGGATCTCCAATCATTAACTGTTGCACAGTTTCCTTCTTTTTTTTTTTTTTT